TGCCAGAGAGAGCACCTGCTGGGGTGCCCCCTGGTCCTGGCTCCTGACTGCCAGAGTCCCAGACTTGCCTCAGGCTCTTGCAATCTCAGGAATGATTCTGCACTGGAGGCAGAGAAAACTGGTGAGGAGCATGGCAGAGACCGCTTGCTGGCTGCAGAGCCTTGGCTGGCACCCCTGGCATGGTGGTGGAACAGCCCCCACACTTCTGCTGGCCCCCTGGACGTGGGCAAGAGATCCTTGGAGGTTAGAGCTGTCAGTGTGTTGATACCAGCAAAGAGGGAGCTGGTAGGGCCCTCCCTTGGAAATACAGGGCCCTGTGCCATGCCCATCTCACTCACTTCCTCCGTGCACCTGAGGCTGCAGGTTGGCACGTTGGTCACCGAAGGGAGTGCAGAGACTCATCAGATGCAGCCCTTTCCTGGGAAGCATCTCTCTTCAGCTGCTCCGTGGGGAAGTGGATTTGTACAAGACACAGGAAGCACAGTTGGTGGCGATGCAGCACTGAGTCTGAAAATTTACACGTCTGACATGGAGGACAAAGTGGCTCCAGCTCTGGCCTCAGGGTCAGACAGACAAGGTTCCAATTACCAGCTATGTAGCCTTAGACTCCGGCCCTCAGTCTCCTCATCTGTAAATGAGGTTCATAGCATCTATTATTATCTGTTGACATTCTTTACAAATGTTTACCCAAGGGCCGGGCACAGTGACTCACACCTGTAATCCCAGCACTTTGCGAGGCTGAGGTGGGTGGATCATCTGAGGTCGGGAGTTCAAGACCAGCCTGACCAACATGGCAAAACCCTGTCTCAACTGAAAATACAAAGTTAGCCGGGCATGGTGGCGGGCATCTGTAATTCCAGCTACTCGGGAGGCTGAGGTAGGAGAATCGCTTGAACCCTGGAGACAGAGGCTGCAGTGAGCCAAGATTGTGCCATTGCACTGCAGCCTGGGTGACAGAGTGAGAATCTGTCTCAAAAAAACAAAGGAAAAATGTTTATCCAGACCACAATACAGTGCTTATCTGAGGAGCAGGTATTCAGTAAGTGCTTATCACATGCATGTTCTCAGGGAAGTGCCTCTGTGTTGACTTTGCTCCTCCCATCAAAGCTCTTGTTATGTGTAGAAACCTTCTCATCCACCTCTGCCTCGACGTCACTGGCCTGTGAACTTCTGAAAGACAAGGGTCATATCTGAGTTTTTTTTTTCATCCCGCATTCTTAAGACAGGACAGTGCACAGCAGGTACTCAGCACAGGGAGATGGGGATAAAGGTTGAGGGGCTAAGGGTGAACAGAGGGTAGATGGACTGATCAATGAATTAAGGGCTACCTGGATGAATGAATGCATCAGTGGACAAAGAAATGAAGTGGACAAAGAGAGGAATGGATGAATGGGTGGGTGTGGGTGGGCGGATGAATGGATGGATGGACGGATGAATGGATGGGTAGGTGAGTGAGTAGATAAGCGGAAGCTGGATGAATAAATATCAAAATAAGTGGATGCACAAGTGGATGGATAGATGGATGGATGGATGGGTGGTGGGTGGATGGATGGGTAGATGGATGGTCGGGTGGCTGGAATGGATGGATGGGTGGAAGGATGGGTGGATGGATGGGCAGTGGATGGATAAACGGGTGAGTGGGTGGATGGATGGGTGGGTGGATGGGTGAATGGATGGATGAGTGAAGGATGGATGGATCAATGGTAAATGGATGAATGGATGGGTTGATAGGTGGGCGGGTGGGTGAACAGATGAATGGACAGATGGATGTATAGGTAGATGGATGGATGGGTAGATAGATGAATAGATGGGTGGATAGGTGGGTGGATGGATAGATGGATGGATGGGTGAAGGATGGGTGGATGGATGGGTCGTGGGTGGCTGGCTGGCTGGCTGGATGAATGGACAGATGGAGGTATAGGTGGGTGGATGGGTAGATGGATGAATGATTAGTTAGATGAATAAATGGGTGGATGGGTGGGTGGATGGATGTATGAATGGACTAGTGGATGGATGGCTGGATGAATGGACAGATAGTTAAAGGAGTGAGTGGGTGCATGATAAGTAGGTAAAAGGGTGCATGAATAAGTGTATGGAAAGGAATAAAGGAGTAAGGGATGCACACAGGCTGGCATGGATGTTCAGATATGAATGAATGGTAAGATGGGGTTTGGGAAGGAGGAAAGGCAGAGGCCAGTTCTGTATCTGGAAAAAAATTCGAGGCCTCTTACTTTCATTCAGATGCCTCCAACTGAAGATTCCCCAAGGAACACAGGGAGTAGAAAGTCAGTCTTTGCCAAGAGGGCTCCTCATTGGCAAATGCATTCCAGAACTCAGAAGGAGCTGCCTGTGGGACACAAAAGACACATTAAACTCTCTTTCTCTTATTGTCCTGAGTTGATCTTTTTCTGACATCCCAAAGCAGCATGCTGCAAATTAGCCTCAAAGTTTAGCCTCTTGTTTATTCCTAATTTTTAAAACCTGTAAGCTTAGTTTCCTATTATGTTCCAGCATCCATGCAGGTTATCTCGTGTGATCCTCACAACGTGGAGGGGTGGGCATCCTTCGCCCATTTTACAGATGAGGAAACTGAGGCTCAGAGCTGTTATGGAAGCAAGCCAATAATCCGAAGTGCCAGTTTCCTGTCTTTTCCTACCCAAGCTCCTAGTTCTCAAGAGGTCATCTGTTCTGTGGGTTAGCAAACTGGTTTTGAAAAAGCCCTTGGTACAAGTCTGGTTAAACTGTGCACATCTGGAGGAGCTGGCAGTGTTTGCAGAGGAAACTTGCTAAATCTTGGCAGAGCCTCCCTCTCTCAGATGGCGGGGGCTGTTTTTGAGACCTGAGATGGCTTTTCAGCCAGAATGTGTCTGCTCAACCCATCTTCCATGGCTGAGGAAAGTCCCGGAAGCCAGGCTGGCCTCTGGGGACCTAAGCCTGAATTCCAAGGGCTGGGATTTCGGGTCCCCAAGGGCCCTTCAGCTGGAGCGACTTAATTGTCCATGCACGTGCAGATTATTCCAAGAGTGGTGATCCACTTTCCAGCCTCCTGGCTTTTCAGGAAACGGTGCATTTATTTTTGCCAGCCGACTCAGCCCCAGGGCCCTTCTCTGGCTTGGACAATGGCTGTGCTCTTAGAACTCTAAGTAGCCCCTGGCCTGCCTTCTCCCTGGGACTTGCTGGGCAGCTGCCAAGAGTCATGGCTGATGTATGGCCGCACACTCAAGGGCTCCGCTGCCGGGCGACGGCTGTTGTCTGGGCAACAGGAGAGTCCAGCTGCGGGCATGCGTCCCCCGGAGCTCCCTGCCCCCCCTGCCTCTCCATTAAGTGCTTCTTGAGCAGGCTTGGCGTTGATTTGCCTCTGTGAGTGGGGAGAGCAGGGCTTTGTATTTTCATGCTGAAAATCACTGTCTCTCCTGGAAGGAGGAGAAACAGGTAGCCGTTGAGAGTTACGAGATGTCAGCGTATTCGGAACGGAACTGCTTAGTCTTCAATTTTGGCCTTATCTTGTCAAGGTCCTGTAGCCCAATCCCAAATTTCCAAGCTCTCTGGCCTGGTATCAGTCTTGTCCTTGGTGGTGCAGGAGGCAGGGTACGCCAACAGACAGACGGGCCCGAGCCTGCCGCCCGCTGCAGGTAAGAAGCCCACCTCGGCGTGTCCTTCCTGAGGCCTGGGTCTTCGTGGCGGGCTGGGGACGGAGACGGGTTTTTGTGTAACTGTTCAGTGCATGGGGTCAGTGTTTCTGTAAGGGATACACACAAGGTGTGGGTCTTTACGTACTAAACTGGATGCCGAGAAATGTCAGCATGGCCTTGTGTGATGTATTTGCTCATTCTTGGCTGGCGACGTCAGCCCAGCTGGGTGACAACCCCCCACAAAAGGCGAATGGAAAATCCAGATGCCTCCTCGTTGCTCAGCTCCAGATGATGGTATTCTTGGTAAAGGAACTGTTGCAAAAAGGACTTTTGCTTGTTCTGTTTCACTGAGTCCATTTCTGGTTGCATTTTGTAATTTTGTCATTTCCTGACTGCTCTTCGTGGACGTCTTCCAGTAGCAGAACTCGTCACCGTTTTGCAGTTTGCCAGCAGCAGTTAGCCAGGTGGGGCAGACAGGGAAGGACTTTGGACTCAGAAGGACTGGGCTCATGTCGGCCTCTACCGCCCACTCACCAGTGACCTTGGGCGAGGTATACCATGTCCCTGAGCCGCAGTCTCCCGATCTGTGAAATGGCGCCAAGCCCCTTCCTGCGGGGGTGGGTGGGGTAGTCAGTGGTGTATCCAGAGCCCCTCGCCCAGGTCAGACACGTAGGCCTCCCCGACTGAGACCTTGTGTCACATAGAGGTTTTTAAAATGTGTGTTCTCAAAAGGCCAAGTGGGCCAGGTGCGGTGGCTCATGCCTGTAATCCCAGCAGTTTGGTAGGCTGAGGCGTGTGGATTACTTGAGGTCAAGAGCTCAGGACCAGCCTGGCCAACATGGCAAAACCCCGTCTCTTCCAAAAATATAAAACTTAGCCAGGCGTGGTGGTACACACCTGTAATCCCAGCTACCAGCTCGCCAAGGCGAGAAAATCACTTGAACCCGGGAGGCGGAGCTTGCAGTGAGCCAAGCTCACACCACTGCACTCCAGCCTGGGTGACAGAGCGAGACTCCATCTCAAAAAAACAAAACAAAACAAAATCAAAAGACCAAGTGGCTACATCTGAAAACGTGACTCTACTCTGTGTGAGTGTCTGGCTAGAACTGAAATCCGGCCTCACTTCACACCCCTGCTGCTGAAATCCGGCCTCACTTCACACCCCTGCCGCTGATGCTCCCGGGTACATGATCCCTGGGAGCTTCCTCCAGCTCACCTTGTTCCTTGCCCCTTGAAAGGCACTCGGGCTACTGACCTTCTCTTTGATTGATTTTTCATTTTTGAGCATAACTGTAACATGGGAAACGGTGAGGCAGAAACCCGCAATCAATGGTGTGTTGCCTTTACAAATGGATTTTTCCCTTCCAGCTGCCAGGCGATCAGATGGGGAGGACGGAAGCTTCGACCAGGATAACAGGAAGGTAATGCCAGGGAGCAGATCTGGCTTAGAAGGCTTAGAACAGCCTTGCTCAGAAAGAAATCGGTTTTGTGAGGGCTTCTCCAACTGAGACTTCGAATCTTTCTCTTACATTCTTTTCCTTAGGGGCCCTGCGAGGCCAAAGGTAGGAGGCCTTCCATCAGTTTCCTTCCTACATTTAGGATGCACACGTCTCCTACCAATGTCCTGGGTATATGCCCGTGTGACTTGGTTACGGGTCTGTGACTGAAGAGATGTGTGCTGTGAAAGAGAAATAAATCCAAGTGCATCCCTGGGGCATCCATTATTCTAGAATAGGTTCAGCAGACCTTTTTCATAAAGGGCCAGAGAGTAAGTACTTTAGGCTTTGCGGGCTGCACCATGTCTGATGCAGCTACCGAACTCTGTGAACGCAGCCGGAGCCGAGGCACGAACAGGCATCTCTGTGTTCCAACAGCACGCTCGTGACAAAAGCAGGCTGCAGGCTGGGCTTGGCGCTTGGGTTGAGTTCAGCCTCCCTGGCTCCCTTTACCTGTGCTAGGGCTGGAAAGCAGGGCTGTGTGTGGGGAGAGCCCGAGGCTGGACTTGGGCAGCATCCCTTATCCTCCCCGTGTGGAGCCCCGTGGGCCCCTGGCCTCCCAGAGCCTCAATGTCTGTGTCCGTAAGAGGGGGCAGCTCCATTTCCCCCAGATGCTCCGTGTACCTGGATAGCGTCTGGATAGGTCTCACTAAATGGCGAGATTTTTATTGGAAGCTGCGTTTCTCACATAATGAGTTTTCTCACAGCGGGGTCAGCTCGGATGTTAGAAGTAAGGCAGTGACAAGAACGGTCCAGTGAGATGTGCCCACCGTTGCAGATGACCTTGAAATTCGCATGACTTTGCTTTTTACCTTCAGCAGAAGAGCAGCTGGCTGATGCTCAAGGGAGACGCAGACACGAGGACCAACTCTCCAGACCTGGACACCCAGTCCTTGCCCCACAGCAGCGGGACCGACAGAGACCTTCTCCAAAGGATGCCAGGGGACGGCTTTCACTCACGTGAGTGGTTCTTTTGAAGAAGGAGCTGCGATGTGCACAAAAGGCCTCGCAGCACATGGGGTCCCATAACTCAGAGCAATCCCCCCGAATCTAAGCCTTGCCTGTTAAAAAGCGGAAGAGCAAGCCCACAAATCTAAGGGCTGACCGGATGGGAAAGTGGGGCTTTTGCGGTTTGCCGGCTTCCCAAGAACTGTCCCCGAGCCAGTGTGCTAATGAGGGCCACGCCTGCACGTCCCCTCACAGATCTCCAGGGCCTGCAAGAATGCTGAAACCCAGATCTGCTCCTGGGCTGTCCAGGAGAAAGGTGTCTGGGCTGCTGGGTAGAAGTCAGGGCCTGTTCCCCCCAGAGCAGCCATGGGCATGGTCCGGCTGATGAGTGCAGACTTGGAGTTGGTGACGGCACCATCCCTGTCCCCTGTGACTCTTCCTGAACCAGGCATGGCCTCAGGCTTCATAGAGAGACAGTGATGGCGTCCGCCTGACCCTAGGGTGTTATGAAGACTGAATCAGGAGTGATGTTCAAATGTAGAGAAAACTCCAGATAATGCTGTTTGCTTCCAGCCACTGTAAATCATAGGTGAAAACCAGTAGCGAGCATGGCCAGACTCACTCAGCACCTCCCAGAAGTGGCCTGCAGGTCTCAGCTGGGCTGGGGGCAGTTTTTACGGGCAAGGCTTGGGTTTAGCTCGGAAGCAGGGACTGGAAGAGGATGGAGGGGGGTGTGAGAGCAGAAGAAAAACCTGACTTTGCAGTGAGGCAGTCCCAAGTTCAAATCTGAGCTCACCACTGACGGGCCAGGTGTTAGGAGACTGGAACTGGGTATGTGTGTGGCGTTCGGCTGGCCATAGTAGCTGCTCAGTAAACAGAAACTGTTTCTCATCCTCATCCTCATCCTCATGCCTGCAAACTGTAAACCGTCGTACTTAACAACAAAAGTAGAAAAGTGTTTCAATGTGACGGGAAAGAGTAAAGACACGGAAGCTTGGAAATGATCATGTGTTAAAGAATCACTTTAAACAAAGGAAGGTGTGTTGCTTGTGTATGATCTCTGTAAGCAGATGTCCGTGCACCCCTCGGGCCTCTGCCCCCGCCTGGGGTGCAGCTTTGTAAACACCAGGATCCCAGAGGTCAGGCACAAGGTTGACGTTGCCATGGGAAAACCACCCCACAAAAAACTCCCCCAGAGGGAGAGGGGTTCGCCCCAGATAGCAGCGTGCTCCTTCCGGAGGAATTGCCCGTCTCATCTGCAGGCGGGGCAAGGGGGGCTGTGGGGCTGGTCCACGTGCGCCTGCCTGTGGCCCCATGGGCAGCTGCATGCCAGTCCTCCGGTCCCTCTCTCTCAGATCCCAGGAATCCCTGCCCCCAGCTGGTGCGGCACCTGCCTGCGGGCCAGGGAACGTTGGCCTGGCTCGTGGTCCCTCTGCCCTCTGCTCTCACGTGTCAGATGCCGTTGTGTTTGGAGGAGGAGAACTCCTCTTGCACCCCAGCACGCTCCCCACCAGCTTCCCCAGCACCCTCCCCACCTTGCTCAGTGTCCCAGCATCAAGGCATTTGCCCTGGGAACCAGGAAATCAGTGTTTGGGGATCTCAAGGTGGCATCGTTCAGCTGAGTTCAGTCCCTCCCTTGCCAGGTGGCCGGCAGAACTCTGCAAGGCTGGGGCCATACTGATGGCCTCCCCCACTGGATAACCTCCCCACAGACTCTTCGGGGAGGCCAACTACTGTCCCCAGAATTCCCACTGACGTTTGTGGCCTGCCTGGGACTCAGGACTAAGAGAGGAGCGGGGGTGCTGTGTGGGAGAAGCCGGACTAGAGACGGGCTGCCCCCTGTGACCCCTGTACCCCTGATACGCTGTGTGACCTGCACAGGTGGCCTTCACCTCGTGCGCTGCTTCCTCGTTTGAAAATGCCAGAATGTAGGTGCCCTGGAGTTGCCCCAGGAGCACACAAGCCTGGTGGGTGGCCGGCCCTGTGAGGCCCGGAGGCCATGTCAGGTGTGTGGGTGGGCTGGTCACTCAGTGGCAAGGGCTTGTGTGTCAGCCCTGCCTCTTGCCGTCATATTCTTCTCCCAGGCTGCCTGTGCAGACGCACGCAGGCTGCAGCTGCCTCCATCCTGGTGTACTGGGTCTGCAGGACTCCGATGGCCCGTGCTGCACTCATAAATTCCCCGGGGAGATTCTGCTCCAGCACAGACCTGCTTGTCCTTCCCCTGGCCATGCCTGCTTGTGAGGATGTGGCTATGATGCTGTCCTTCCTTTGCTTTCTCCTTGTGTTCTAATGTCACCTCCTCTGAGCAGGAAACCCGCTGTGTCTAACCATTCTGATTGTGCCTTTATTTCTGTCCCGATGGCATTGCCTTGTTTCCCGATTTGCATGGAAATGGCAGCGAGGACCCAGGCTGCCGGCTGAGCCTGGATCAGGTGAGCCTTGCCGTCTGCGGCCTCCTGAGGAATCCAGGCGGGAAGGGGAGCACACGGAGACTGACAGCCAGCCACCTTTTTCTCTCGGGGTTCTTTTGATTATCACCAAGTAGCCCCCAGACCTGAGTCCATGAGCACCAGTTCCATTTGCACACAACTTTTACTGAACAAAGCGTTTGCACACAGCAAGGCACGCCACCTGCACCCCGGGACGTCCATCTGTAGCGCGCCCAAGGAAGGTAGGATTGTGACACCCAACACAGTGGGCACTCAATAAATGTCTGTTGAATTGAAATGCGTTACATTCAACGGGTATTTATTGAGCACCCACTCTGTGCCAGACGCTGAGCAGGGCGCCGAGGGGGACAGAGAAGACGAGAACAGCCCCTGACCTGGAGAAGTGTGCAGGGAGCTGGCAGAGGCAGAGACGCCGACAGAGCGAGCGCACGCGCATCCCGCCGCCGCCTGCCCGCCGGGCACCTCTGTGGCCTCGCAAGGGCCTGGTCACAAACTCATCTCACCCACAACACCATCTGCACATCTCACCCGAGACTGAATTCATCATTCAGACCTTCATCCATCCCTCCACCAGATACTTACTGAGCACCTACTATGTGCTGGACATGGTGCTAGGCAGTGGAGAGGCAGTGGTGAGCATGGCCCAGTCCCCGTTCCCCAGCAGGGAAGCCAGAGGACTCTATGGCGGTGACAAACCAGGGAGCCATCCCCATCCCATTAGTTCCCAGCAGGCACTGCCACCTCTCCAAAGAGGGCATCATATTGAAATCTACATTTTACTATCGACTACTTTTCTGTTCCTGTTTATATTACACATAGTGCATTATCTGGACTATGTGCAGAGTAGTTTATTTTATGAGTGCACCTGATTTCTACACAGGAAGGGAGGCTATTGAATTTCTGTTGTAACACGTTTTCTAGGACAAGGCTTGCTGCCCTGGGGGAGAAACACAAGGTGGTGTGGACTCTGCGTCCCCAGCAGTCAGGCCTGCTGCTGCGTGGGGTCCCACATTCCTAGCCCCTTGAGTCCCCATCCTCTCTTTTGAGGTCTCCCACATCCCACCGTCGAAGGTCAGAGGCGTATGAGCATAATACAAACCCCCTGGGCAGCTCGAGGCACTGCCCAGAGGACTCAGTGGCCCCTAGAAAGGACCCAGCACTTCCAAAGGGAATCAGACCCTTTCCTCAAACCCCAGCACATGAGGCATGTGTGCGAGGTGGGAGGATGGGAGCCAAGGGTGGTCTGGCCAGGCTGGAGAGGGGGTGAGGAAAGCTCTGAGTTAACCTCTGCAGCAGCACAGGGAAGGCCCCAGTTGGGGGCGCTTCACCCCCAACCTACCTGTGGCTTGGCATTTTTCTGTCACCTTCTGTGTGTCCTCTCGCTGTGGGACCGGGCAGAGTCCTGTGTCTGGTGGGTTGTGTTTGTCTCTGCTTGTCTCCCCACTGCCAGGTCTCGGAGCCTGTTGGGAGGGAGGGTTAGGAGACAGCGCCCCTGCTGCAGCTTTTCTGTTCCTGGGAGCAGAAGGGAAGGCGGCGGGTGGGAGCCGGGGCAGCGGTGGCCTTCCTCCTTTCCCCTTTTACTCCTCTGGAGCTGCAAGGTGGGGCAGAAGAGTTCTTCTCACGTTCCTTAGTCCGTGGTCGAAGGAAGAGGCTCCCTGACGTGCTACCGTCAATCTCGCGAGGGTAGCTGGTGGGAAGGGCAGGGCACCTGGCTCAGGCTTAGAGACGTGAGACCCCCTAGGGGTGGAATTC